AAGAAGAGCAAAAATATTTAAGAAACATTAGCCAGAAAATACTTACATTTTATCAAAACTATAAACCCACAGATCTAACAAGTTCAATGAACCCCAAGCACATAAAAAAGAAGAAAACTACACAAAATCACATCATAGTAAAATTGCCCAAAACTAGTGATAAAAAGAAAATCTTAAAAGCAACCAAAGTAGAGTCACATTACACATAGGTGACTAAATATAAGAGCGTCAGCAAATTTATCCTTGGAAACAATGCAAACAAAGACAGCAGAACAACCTCCTTAGGGTTCCAAAATGAAACATCAGGACACTATTCTCAGAGGAAATATCTTCACAAAATAACGGTGAAATAGATTTTTTCAGAAATAAGAAAAGTGAAAAGAATTTATGTCTAGCAGCCCACGCTACAATAAATGTTAAATGATGTAAACGAAATCCTTCAGGCAAAACAAAATTGATACTGGATGGCGTATGGATTTACAAAAAGGAACAAAAGCACCAGAAATGATAACTACTTTGGGTACCAGCTATGAAAATCTAGTCTGATTTCTCTCGGTTGGAATAAAAATAAGAGCTCATTATAGTGAAATTCTCCAAGGTTTGACTCATTGTGAATAAAGTTTTATTCATTTAGACATTCCTGAACATTTGCTTTGAACATTGTTGTCAATCTCTTTTTGTGAATGTAATATGCAAATTGCTGAGGCTGTAGAAAATCTGTTGTCATTTGTAGTAAGTTGTAAAAGTGTTTTGCTCTGAATTTACACTGACCACATTCTCCCTGATAACAAAAGATTAACTCACATCTTGAAATCCATTCCTTCTTTTAATCAACAATTCTGGGAATGGGATGCAATGGACTAAGATAGGCCAAATCACAAAGAAAAGCAATTTCTTTCTATAAGATTACAACAATAAACTTGGAACTGGCATTCTGCCTCTTGTTTCTTGCCTCGATTGATATGCGCCATCACTAGCAAAATTCTTAATCTTTTTAGTAAACCTCCTTAAGTTTTTCCTTTCCTCCTTTCTTTGGAGAAAAACCTTTTCACTGAAACTTAGATAATTATCTTGAACCTGGTGACTTGGGTCCTATGGCTATTGATAAGGACCATTGAAATTCAACATTCTCTTTAAGTTCTCTCTCTTGTAACATCTTGAACAAAGAATTCATTCACTTGCAAAAACAAAATAAAACAAAATAAAACAAAATCTATACTTTTTCTAATGTGAAAAATGACGGAATAAAATAACTATTTGCATAAGTTATAATAATTTAATATCAGCCTGTAGGTCATTCTCTTAATTCTGAATAGTGAATAATCTTAGTTAAGATGGTGGTTTTACTAATTTCTTTACCACCTTATGCAAATTTCTCAAGAACGAACACTCTGTAACGACCAGTCCACTGAACTCAATCTACTTTCCAATTTGAGTAACACTGTCTTTAAATTTGAGGGGAATTAAACTTTCCTGGATCTCTTTCCTTTTAACTCTAAAAAAACTTCTCTTCTGTGGTTAATGTTAATGATTGGCTGGTGTTCTGCATGGTTCCATCTTTTAATAACTATTCACAGATGTATATTAAACTTAATATGTAATAAATATATAATATGTTATATATATTTACATCAAATATAATCTTGAAATCATCCACTTTTCTTTAAACTACTTTCCTAATTTTTCCCTTCAACATCTTTTATGTGGATTTTGCAATGGAGTCGTACTTGATTTGACAGCCTAATTTTACCTCCTTGAACCAATCTTCCCTACAACAACCTGAGTGATGTAGTATGTCCTCCCTTAAGTAAAATCTTTTAATGCCTCCCTATTGCCTAAACTCCTCAGGTTCCTTAACTTCATCTCAGACTAGTCTTTGACTTATTTTTGTGAACTAAATTCCAGGTAAATATCTCTGTTTCTCTGGCAAATCCTGTGGTATATGACCTCGATATCCTTGTTCACTTTGAACCTTGCTGCAATATTAATATCAGCCCTTCCTCTGCTTTTTAATCCCTCTCTTAGGTTCAAGTTTCACCTCATACAATCAACTTTTCTTGACTTTTCTCCATAATCTTTTCAGTTAGGTGTGCTCATAGAACCTTGTGTAGATCTCTGTTACTGCATTTATTATAGTATATGAGATATATATATATATATTTTTTTTAAATATGTATTTCTATGATTCTGAGGTAAATGATATATTTTTTAAATCTTCATGCCTAGCAATGTGCCTGGCACAGAGTAATGGCTCAATAAGTATTTGTTGAACTGTTGCCAATGACAATAAATAATTGCCCTGAAGGTGCTCAATAAATATTTATTAAATTTACTAAAATGTCTGTGGCAACAAAGGATTATACTGAAGGAAATATTAATATAGCTATTCTCTTAAATACTTATTGTATACATATTTGATTTAAGAATTTTGTGTTGGCAAGAAAAACATGTAGGAAGCAAAAATATATCTGGAAAAACATCAAATTTTTAGAAATAAGTGCTCTTTGATGCTTATATAGATGTATACATTTTAATAGTAAGGTTACTTTTATCAGTAATGCTTTGGAATTCTGTCTCCCTAGTTTAATTTGGTTTAATGATATATTACCATGGATTTAATTTTCACAATTACATTCTCCTTTATAGAAACAAAATGATTCTCAGGGTCTACGATCTGAGTATATTTTATATATTTGTAGATAATCGGCTATTCTTACTTCATTATTCTTTACCATTGTAAACAACTATATGCACTTTTATTATCGTGGTTAGGTATAGAAGTATAATTTCTAAATAAAAGCCATTAGAATTTTATAAATTAGGTTTCAAGAAAAGGACATTCCACCAAAGGAAAAAAAAGAGAGGCAGAATTGGAGCTGTTACATTTTTCATACTCTTATTGTATATGCCATGACTGCATCTAAAAATCATCAGTAGAAAAAAACTCAACCTAGGTATATTATATACATATGTAGTTACTAAAATTACTTAAAGTACATTATTTTCTCCACTGAAATAGTTTTATGAATTACTGTTTTTAGCCATGATGGCCATTGTTATAGTCATTAAAATTTCTATTATATATTTGCAGCTAACTCTCTTAATTCAATCTAAGACTTACTTCTTTTCTGTATAAAAACAAAGAAAAAAACTTGTTTAAAGTTCTCTGACTTTGAAATCAAAGTGATAAATTACTAAAATGACATTACCTCAAAGAGACACATTTTACTAAAGTATATAAAATTTCATCGAGTAAAATTTAAACAGATTAATTGAGAATTGATTATCTAGTTTCCATTATTGCAAGAACCTATTTTATTTTTCTTTAGGGAAAAAAATATACAAGTTTGACTTTATAGCAATGGATCACATTTTCTCCAGGCAAATCATTTGATAGACTATTATTCAAACATATTACTTAATAGATGTTAATCAATAAAGGAAAAGGGCATTTTCTCTTTATAAAACAGCTTTTACAACTAAAGAGAACCTTAATCATATTGTTACTGTTTGGGTGACCTGAACTCCGGTGTCACTCCATGCCTAAAAATACGATTTTGGTGATGTTCATATCACAGAATTTCTGAATATTCATATTCTAATGTTTGTTCAAAGTCTGCCTTTAATGTTATGCTCATATGCAGCAATGTATCCACAGAAATAATTGTTCTCTTACCTGAAATGAAGTAATTGGATATATATTAACATGAGCCTCATTCCATCGTTGTCCTTTATTCCCACTAGAAGACCACAGTGGATTCTCTATCGTTGTCTGCCCTTTCAAACGTAGATAAACATTTAAAACACCTAAAAATAACAATGAAATTTTATTTTGTACATTTGTTTTCGCTTCAAATTTGTTTCTCCTTAACTAAACACTTTTAAAAATAAAATTTTGCAGAACACTCTAGCATATCCTCCTCTGTTCCTCTCTCATTTTCAACTTTCTCTTATAATATTTGGCATTGGATAATTGTGCCCCAATCCCTAGAATCTGTGAATGTTACTTTATATAAGAAAAGAAGCTTTGCAGATGTACTTAAGTATCTTGAGATGGAGAAATTATTCTAGATCATCTGAGTATGTCCTAAATGTAATCACATATATCATAAGATAGAGGCAGAAAATTTGATACAAGAGAGAGTGTCACATATGAAAGAAAGAGAAGATGCAATGTAGCTGTATTTGAAAATAGAGGAAATAGCCGTAAGTGGAATATGAGCAACCTCTAAAAGCTAGAGAAGACAAGGACATGGGTTCTTCCCTAGAGAAGGAACCAGCCCTGCTAACACCTTGATTTTCACCTCATTATACTCATTTTGAATTTCTGTCCTCTAAAACTGTAAGGTAACAAATTTGTGTTGTTTTAAGCCACAAAGTTTGTGGTAACTTACTTGTTTCAGTGGCAATAGGAAACTAACATAGTATATAATCATGTACTTAGTGATCTGCTCAAAGTCTGATTCTAATTGTTTTGTCTTAATAGTTAACATCTCTTTTTCAGTTTACTTCATCCAACTCTTATTTTATTATAAAAGCATCATTTGAATATAAAAAAAATAGCTTTGTCTCATGACTTGATATACGTCTTTCAACAGTTTCATGTCCTGCACATAGTAATAATAGAAATGATGATGATAATATTAATATAATCTGTGTTAAAACACTTACTTCAGATGAAGTAGTAATCCTCTCAACAATCCTAAGTACTTCCTATTATTCCCATTAGAGAACATTTCTACAGGGCATAACTCTAACCACTAAGGAAGAGCCTTCTGACTTTCTTCATGTTGCCAGGAGCGTTTACGAGGTCTCTTCATTCTAAAATGGTTTAAGTGTCAATATTCTCTTCTGTTCTTCTGTCAGGACTCTTGAATCTCCCCATCTCTGTTCTGCTGTCAACACCATAAAAGCTGCTATGTTGATATATCATAAGCCTTGGATTTTTTTAGTCTTCCAGGAGTACAGAATAGCCTTTGGGCAAATATTCACGGGAAACCCCATATGGACTTCTAGAATCAGTCCTGCAGAACTCCCTTCTTTCTGTTACCCTGATTTACAGATTCTACTTCAGCTACCCAGCACTCTGATCTCTGCTTTCTGAACTCTGGGATATCCACACTCTGCCTGAATTTCCTGGCCCCCGCACAGGGCTGGGAAATTGTCCTAAGGCAAAAAACTGGACTCCTATGGAGATCTCGTCATTAGTTTCCCCTTTTTTTCACAAATCTGTCTTCCTCTGCCTCTTTTCTTTTTTATGAAAATAGTTACCTAATATATTTTTCCCATTTTAATACTTGTTTATTGAAGTCGAACTTATCTGGAACCAGTTACTACTGTATGGCTTTAAGATACCCTCATTTTGATAACTTTTACAGATAATTATGTCATTATTTAGATATTTATATGCAGATTATATAGATATCATCCCTTCTGAAAAGCAGAAAAGATAATATAAAAATCAATCACTATTAAATTGATCACTCAAAGGTAGCTTTCTTAATATTTTGGTGTATGTTGCTTCAGTTTCTTTTTTTAATGTATATCTATAAATGTACAGTTATATGGTATAGAGTAGTTTATCTTTCAGATTTTTAGTGCCATTTTTTCTAATCCTGTATACATAAGACCGCACATATTCATATTACACACAAATTCATAAAAACAGATACTCACTTTTTAAACAACAAACAAATGCATTCTTCACATCACAGCTATTGCTTACTACTAGCTGGATGACCTTGGCTTGGTCTCTTACTTAATCTCTCTGTCTCAATTTCCTCATCAGGTTAAATGATGATAATAACAGTAACTAGTAAGCTTTTTAGGAGAATTAAAATGAGTTAAAGTATGTAAACTGCACATTATGTCTCATACATATTCTTTGGGTTTTATTATTATCTATTAAGACATTCCGGAATAACTTTGACTTGGTAATGGACTATTACTTTCTTATTAAGGTAGATTCAAGTTGTTAGTATTGAATTTAAGAATAATGCATATATATTTACATATAAAGTTCTCCATTTTTCTTTTGTGTTTTATCTTTCTATGTTGTGTTTTTACTTTTTGCTTCAGAATCTATTATTTTCTATCTTTTTCCCCTTTAATATGAGAAATAATCTCCGGCTAGTCCTCTATAGTACTGATTTTATTTTCCATAGTGTAGATTCTGTTATTTTGTTTCTAATGTCATCTTTATTTGGCTATTGTATTATTCATGACATTACATTTTTTTCTGATCTCGTCAAGCTCCCCTTTATTTCAGTCTTTTATCCAGTTCCTTCTTTTTCTTGATCCATTATTGTATCATCCTTATCTTTTATTGTTTCATGAAGTTTATATTCTTATGTATTTTATTGAAAATATAAAGCATATATACTATACGAGTTTTATTTTCACCTGAATTTTCAGCAAGTTTTTCAACAATATGTGCCTCTTTTACTATGTGCTTATTAGCCTTGTTTTATAATGTGGAATCATTAGTGTGTTTCTTTCTCTTTCTCATTTTCTTTCACTTTATTCATCCTTAAATATCCTATACAATGCTAAATAATCCTGTGATGTTTTTTTCTAAAATCACCAATGGAGCTTCTTCTCTGTGCACAGAATGGGTTGGATTTTGTTAGCTCCTCCTCTAAGATCTAAAACTACTGGCAAGTTAACTGAGGTTTTACAACATCAAGATTCAACAATCTAAGAATAGTGAAAAAATATTTATGCCTTTGGGCAATATAAGAGTTTAACTTTCTGGGATTTTCCCAATGTGCTCAACAAGCCTTTGTGGCAGGGAGCGGATTTCTGAATCCATCCTTCTGTTTTCCTTTTTTATATACTCAGTGTGGCTCAGTTTTTCTTGTTCATTGGTGCTGGTACCTTATACATCAGAAAGGCAACCATGTGCCCAAAGGAAAGGCCACTAGAGAACATATTTCTTTGTGATGCAAATGTATTATGTTTTTGGACAGTACTATATAACAAAGAAGGATTCTTAAAAAATCAAGCCCAAATAAATAATAAATTTTGTATTAAATGCTAAATAAATATTTATTGAACCTATTAGGTAACAAAGAAGGATTCTTAAAAAATCAAGCCCAAATAAATAATAAATTTTATATTAAATGCTAAATAAATATTTTTTGAACCTATTAGGTGTCACAGACCTATTATGGTACGTGTTATGTAGCATATACCTTTCAAAAATTATTTGAAGAAATAGTCTGTGTGTGAATTAAATAGGAAAAGGTCTCTCTCCTACTCCATAGTCTGTGTCTACTACAGCTTATGGCTGTATTAGTGGTAACCAATTGTGTTGTGAGATTCTCTACTAATTTCTCATTATACTTTACTGTTTTTTCAGAAAGGAAAGTGTCAGTTATCTTTTTCTTTTTTGTATGTTTTAAATGTAGCCCTTAAAAAAAAAATGTAGCCCTTTAGCTTCTCTACCTAGTGGAAGTCTTTCAATAGCTTGTATTTAATGAATGAAGGATGCTCTCTTTAAGCTACCAATGCATTTCAAGTTATTCCATACAAAAATTACCAGCAGATGCTTCAATAATTGTGAAGCACAAATATAGATAGATGGTAGTCAATGAATTATGATTATATGGAAGTCTTATTTCTCTTGAGTAGCAAGAGCTGATATTTTGATTGAAGTGACAGGAATCAATTTTGTCATCAAATCAATACATGGTGATTTTTATTAAATTTTAATAAAAAGATAATACTTTTTAGAACTATTGGTTGTATTTAGACTAACAAAATGGTGTTATTATGTGTCTTCCAGAATTTACTTAAAGTAATAGATACATGCTTTAATGAAACACATATTAGCATATATGATTTACCATTGTTATATTAATAACAATGTTATTATATCAATATTGAATATATTTTTTCTTAGGAAATATATTTTGCCTGTGAACATGTTTACATTTTTAAATTAACATTTTTTATATCTGTAATATAATTCAAACTTGAATTATTTCAATTTATATTTATTAAATATATACTATGTGAAAAATATTTGTCCTAGGTCTAAAAAACCTAGCTCTGAATTGCAAGTTTTGAATTAGTTTTTGAATAGATTATATGAGCTATTCAGTTGTGGCTAGATTTTATTTTAAAATATTGTTTTATAAGAAAAAGGCAATAGAAGTGTAGCTGATTGAAATAGTTTCTTCCAAATACATTATAATTTAATGCTTATTCTTACGTGATGTTAATTATATTCTATTATTCAAATAAATGAATACAAGCTATTGATTTTATGGTCTGTTTAAAAGATGATGACAAAAGCAATATCAATAAACTAATGATTTTGAAAGATTCTTTTTCCAAGCAAGTTTCCAGTTTTTAAGTTTATAAAAGAGAATTCAGTGCCAAAAGTTATATAAACTTATATTCCGATCATCTTGGTCATCAAAATTAGAACTTGTGGAACAGAATAAAGTGATTTAAGGGAAGTTAGATTTAGCAAAGCTGATTCAGCAGGTCATTATAGTAAGAAAATTTCAAAGTGAATATGATGGATTGTGTTAATACCCTTTAAAAGTAATTTTAAATCCTCAGAGGCACTGGGTTTATGCTTTAGTAGGCACCAGATATCAATAGGTATGAATTTAATCCTCCCCAAAGATTTTGAAATGCTATATAGTTCCATGACACAAGTTTGAAGTTGTTAAGAAAAACTTAACTGTCTTTTTTTCTCTCCTTAGTTTGCTAATTTTCATCTTTTTTGATCACCACTGCTTAAGAGTCAGATGTTAAGAGCTAGAGAAGACTTTGCTCATCTCATGCATTGCTCA